GTCAGCTAGCTCCTGCCATCTATCACTACTCTCACTGGAGACAGCAGGAGTCCCATTTTAAAGTGGTGAGCATGAGGTCCTGGTAAGTGACTCGCTCACACAGGGCTAGAATTTGAACCCAGCTCTGTATCTCCAAGGGCCACACTGTGGAGATCCTTTGCACGTACCCACACTGCCCCCTTCCCCACCTCCAACATACACGCATAAGAATAATGAGTATGACTTGGACATTGTTCTGAGAGCTTTGTGTGCCTTGGGCAGGAATAAATATTCTATACAATAAATACTGCCTCAATCCCTGACACGAAAAGCTGAGAAACCAAGTGAATAAATATTTGCTGAGTGAATAAACAAGAGATTTCTTCTAAGCTACTGGGTACCTACCTGGTGAAAGGCAAGACAAATTCTATAGCCCTACTAACTACCCATTCTGACCAGGAGATCTGGAATAATGGGACTGTCATCTGGAAGGGGACAGGAGGTGCCTGGCATTTAAGACTTCTTCAGGCACCATCCAAATGTGCTCCTGGACAGTGCTTAGTTATGGCCTGGAGGGAGTTAGCTGCTACGGGAGCAGAGGCCGGGCCTACAGAAACGTGGCTCTCTGAGAGATGCTCGCCTTTGCTCTTATTATTTCATATTCCCCCGTCTCTTTATATTTAAGATAGTTCAGTCACAGGTATGCTAAGGGAAACAAAGGAAAATATTTGGGCCCATGCTTAGGCTGGAGGATTTAAGGAAGAGGCTTGGAGAAAGCATGGGGGGTGACAGCAAAAACCAGAGCAACACCTCCAATGAAAACAGCTGAGGGGACAGAAGGAAGGTACTTTGGTGCGTCACACCCTTTCTACATGGGTAACAGTAACGACATGCGACCCTTGGCATGCACAGGGACTGGACCTTCAACTCACCTGAGGTTTCCACCCCCAGAGCTGGTCTCTGCCCTCATATCTCACAATTTATTTAGAGAAGATTGCCTGGGAAAGGATTTGGGCCAAGCAGCCAGGGAACATTAAGGTACCTAATGACCTTTGTAATCCTGGCCAGTTTTCAAAACACTGAAAAGCAACCTGCAAAAATGCTGAATGCTAAGCAGAATAAGCTGACAGCAAATTTTTCAGCCCAGGTCCAATAGTTTCGTTCACCAAAATCTCAGCTAGGCCCAGATCAATGGTGAGGCCCAAAAGGCAAGGGGTCCAAACTGTGATGGGCACCCAGGGGATTTGTGAGGCAAGTAGGCCAGGTCTCACCCAATAAAAGTTAAATCAAACTCTGGCATGTCCACACTGCTCACTGGCTTCACAGGTGACTGATAAAGTCAGGTGTGAGAATCACAGGCTTAGTACAATCTCACAGGGAATGTTCCAGGTCCCTCCTTTATAAAGGGCTGAGCCCTCTCCTGTACCTTCCTAGACATCTCCCTTAGAGAACAGTTATACCAGATGGACAGATGTGATATTGTGATTTATGATAACAAAAATATGTGTTTCCAGGCTTCCGCTTCCCGGGTGTTTAAAAGTGAACACAAGCACAATGCTTATTTATTCCTAACTGTGAAAGAAAGAAGTAGTGCTAAGGATACCAACTGGTGGAATAATCAGGTACCTTTTTGGGGTCTCAAAGACAAGGCCCCTCACCAGCTCAGGCTACCTACCATGGTAAACAGAGAAAATGAAATGAGTTTCTGTTCTCACTTGAAATCCCGCTCAAGACAGTAACTTTTTAAATGGCATCAAATAACAAGGATAAAATGACCAGGAAAAGAGACAATCAGAGGCCGGAAATCTCAATAAAGTTTTAAAAATGGAAAAGCTGAAAGAAGAGTGCTCTCTGACAAAATGGAGAATGCTGAACCCACAGTGCACAAGGTGGAAGTCGACTAGAAGAAAAGAAATCTCCACCGCAAGATCCCAGGAGGACACACTGAAAGGACTTCAGGGTAGGACTGAGAACAGAAGGACTTACTGAGCAGATGGATACCAAGACACACTCAATTCTATAGTTTTACTCTCTGTACAACTCCCCTTGACTCCTGTCTTTTTCTCACACTTCCATCCATCATCAACTCTGGTTAGCTCTAGCTTCAAATACATCTAGAAAGATCTGCATCTCTCACCTCTAGGACTCTATCTCCCCCCACCACTCACTCCTTGCATTCCAGTACCTCCTTGCATTTACTTAAACATGCTGAGTACACACCTACCTCTGGGCCTTTGCATAGATTGTTCTCTCCTCCAAGAGTACTCTCCCTCAGATATTTTCATAGCCATCCTATCCCTGACTTCATACCACCAGCTCAGATGCCACCTTCCTTGACCACTCCACATCTCCCTTACTTTGCTTTACTTTTCTCCAAAGCACTTCTCTTCACCCAATATATATATTTGCTTACCACCCATCTCCCCCACTGAAGTGACAACTCCTTACGGGCAAGCATTTGTCTAGTCCATTCATTGCAGTATCCCTAGAGCCTAGAACAATCCCCAGAACATAGTGGGGAACCAATATTTGTTAAAAAACTGAACTCTGGAGGGTAGGAAGACATAATGGTTACCACCATTAAGTAGATTATAGAGAATACCCTTGGATGGGTCGTCTCATCTTGCCCCATAAAGGGGACCATGAAGACACATGGGATCATCACACAACAGAATCTTTCATTATATTAACCCAGAAGGAGTGTACATCTCTTCCGCCATGCCATGAGGGCAGATTGTGTCACCTGTACCACTCCTATATGCCCAGTGGATGCCACATCACAGGTGCTCAATAAATGTTTGCTGAATAAACAGGAGAGGGCAGGCTCAGTCTTGAAAAGGAGGAAACTAAAGAAAAGGAAAGTGTGGGGCTAACACAGAAAAGTGGAGGCAGCCCAAGTCCAGGGAGCAAGGCTGACTCCACGCTGTGGAATGCCTTGAAAGTCAAGCTAGGGCCTTTAATCTGAAGGCTGGGTGGTGAGTGGACCCTCAATGTAAATTTGTACAGGTAAGTGATTCATTCAGAAGACAGGGCAGGCATATGTAAGAGTTTATTCCATAAAAATGTGAGTGCCCATTGTACACTAGGTCGTGCACCAGATGTTGGGGATATGACCCACCTAATGCTCTTAGCTTAGTGAGAGAAGACAAATAAGATAATAAAAGTAACCAAAGTAATTTCAGAAAACTTAGGACGTGAAAGACACAGAGGGTCAGAGAAGACCTTTCTGAGGTGACATCTGAGCTGAATCTTAAAGGATGAGCGGTCAACCATGGGAAGAGCTAAAAGATGATGCATTAGGCAAAGGGAACAGCCAGCCAAAAGGCCAGTGTGGCTGAGCAGTGACACACTGGTTAGAGATCAGGGGTTGGATCACATAAGCCATTATATGGCAAAGAGTTTGAGAACATTTTTCTAAGTCCCAGGTGAAGCATAAAAAATTGGTGGGCAGAAAAACAAAATTTGGGGGTTTAGGGAAGAGTGGTATGGATAAGATAAAAACTAGGAAAGGTCTGAAAGTGAGTGCTTTCGATTCTCATCCCTAAACTAACAAAGAGCTCTTTGAACCAGGAAAAGATAAGGATCCATGCTTTGGTAGAAGGTGAAACCTGCTTCTTCCCAAAGAACCTGTGACTCCTAGAAATCCTAGAGGGCAAGGAGAGGTCTTACTTATCTGAACAGCCTCATTATACCCCAAAAGCTCAAGATTACTTGCTACAAGTCAAGTAAATTAGGGACTCGGAAAGAAAATTAAAAACAAGAGACCAACTTTGTCTAACAAAAGGATGAGGGCAGAGGACTTCTGTCCATGGCACAATGAAGTACTAATCAACAGAAATAGTGCTAATTAGCAACATTGGCATTATGGCTTTATGACCCAGGAAAGGAGGAGTTCTAAAAGCAAGGTGGGGTGGGAGAAAAGGATGAGCATTTTAAACAGAACTGTCACCCCTAACTTGATGTATGACCTTGGGCAGGTCATCTCTTCTAGGCTTCAGATTCCCTGAATTAAACTGAGGGAGCTGGACTATTCACCAAGAAATTTCTGGGTGAGTTCCAATTCTCTTTGTAGCTTTTCAGGTGTCTACACCATCCTCATCTCCTGGCACAGAGTTGGTTCTTCATGAAAATCTGCTGAATGACGACTAAATTTTCTTAACTTCTCATTTTACAAGATTAGAAACTGAGGCCTGGAGGGGTTAGGTGGAGGCTCAGGGACAACGAGTCGATAAGCGGGCCTGAAGATTTCTGAACTCTCCGAGGCTAACTATTTTTGGGGGGTGGGGAGCATGAGGAGAGAATGTCTTCCCAGCAGAGGACTCCCGGAATCCACGGGGCACCAGATTGAATAGTGCAGTTCTGCAATCAGACTGCCAGGGCTCTAACCCCAGCTTCATGATTCACCACCACATAGGTTTAGCGAAGTCGCTTCTGTGTCTTAATAGACCCTTACCTATTAAAAGTCGCTGCGAGATCAATGAGACAAGCCACATAAAGCTCCTTGAAGAGTGCCTGATATGTATTTGGGATTCAATAAATGTTCCTGTTGTTGGTACTTCTTTCACTAGCACAACATCTAACCCGAGTGGCAACTTTTCAGGACAGTTAAAAGGCGCGGGCAAACGGAAACACGTGGTGTGTGGTAAGAATGATAGTAGTAATAACAAATTCCCAACTGCGAGCCAGAGGGAAGAAACGTGCTGAGCACGTTTCTCTTATCTACTTGGGTCTAATTTATAAAGTCTCCCAACAGCTGTCCCTTTGAAGTCCGGGTTCGAGCCTCCCCGTGACCTTGGAACAGCCTCGTTCCTCCCAGTCTCGGTTTTCTCATCGGCAAATCGGGGGTGGCGACCCTGCCACCCAGCCTGCTCCAAAGATCCCGAGGAGGGTACCCTGGACCGCCTCTGGCGGCTTGAGCCGCGAGTGGGGTCGCAGGGCGCCGGGGCCTACGGGAGCAGAAAGACCGCATGTCCCCTGCAGGCCCTCGTAGGCAGGCCTCCAAAGCATCTCACGCTCCCTACCTTCCTGCCGGCAGTAGGCCATGGCTGCAACCCAGCGCTAAGACTTCGCAAGAGTAGAGGCAGCAGTGGCGGCGGCGTCTTCAGGCCGTGACCTCTCCTCAGGTAGGGCGGGCGGCTCCGAGGCCCGCGCGGACCCGCCCCCTCCAGGCCTGCCCGCCGCGCGCCTGCCTAGGTGCCTTCCCAGCCCCAGCCCGTTCCTCTCAGCAGAGAACTACATTTCCCAGCAGGCCGCGCGCTGCCCGGCAATTCTCCAGGCGGTAGGACGCGCACATCCCAGAAAGTCTTGTAGCGCGCAGGCGCATCTGTGACAGACAATGCATTTTGCGACTTTGCGGAGAAAGCACTAGACCCCGGACTATATTTTCCAGAATACCTTGCGGCACGCATGAGCAGAAAAGCCTGGGACGAAGGGGCGGTGACATTGTAGTACGTCCCCTCTGTTTCTGGGCTTCATGGGAATTTTCTCAGTTCTTGGGCAGTGAAGAGGCTACTGGATTCCGCCCTCCGTAAACCCCTTTCGTACAGAACAGAGCGAGACAGGGCGGCAAGCCAGGTACCACCATGGCCGCGAATGTGAGTATCTCCTGTTTTGTCGGGCCACACTCAGACTTCCCCATGTACCGGGGCCTTCTCTTGCCCAAGGGGCCGCCTAGGTCCATTTTGCTTGTCTGACCCCAGCCCTTGCGGCGGGCCGCCTATCTCCCTCTGCATACCTTCCGGCAGCTAATCTGTTTGTTAATTTCTCTTAGCCTGTCCAGGCGCCTTTGGTCCACCTCATCCTCGAAATTGTGGGGAGACCCAGGAGGTATTGCTCCCGCCATTGGGATCTACCTGTGCACGGCGCCTCTTTCCAGCCTCCTCTTTCATTTCCAGTTCCCACTTAGGTCCTTCAGATTCTCAAGTGTGC